AGTTGATGAGGGATAAAAAGGTGGTGGTGCGTTGAGGTGTATGTGGAGTCAAAAAACGTTATCTATGGAGGCAAAGAAGGGAATGTATGAAAGTATAGTAGTCCCAACACTCTTATATGGATGTGAAGCTTGGGTGGAAAATTTGCAGCAGCGAGGAGACGGTTGGAGGCAGTGGAGATGTCCTGTCTAAGGGCAATGTGTGGTGTAAATATTATGCAGAAAATTCGGAGTGTGGAAAATTAGGAGAAGGTGTGGATTTAAATAAAAGCATTAGTCAGAGGGCAGAAGAGGGGTTGTTGAGGTGGTTTGGTCATTTAGAGGAGAATGGATCAAAGTAGAATGACATGGAAAGCATATAAATCTATAGGGGAAGGAAAGAGGGGTAGGGGTCGTCCTCGAAAGGGTTGGAAAGAGGGGGTAAAGGAGGTTTTGTGGGTGAGGGGCTTGGACTTCCAGCAAGCGTGCATGAGCGTGTTAGATAGGAGTGAATGGAGACGAATGATACTTGGGACCTGACGATCTGTTGGAGTGTGGCAGGGTAATATTTAGTGAAGGGATTCAGGGAAACCGGTTATTTTCATATAGTCGGACTTGAGCCCTGGAAATGGGAAGTACAATGCCTGCACTTTAAAGGAGGGGTTTGGGATATTGGCAGTTTGGAGGGATTGTTGTGTATCTCTATACGTATATGCTTCTAAGCTGTTGTTTCTGAGCACCTCTGCAAAAGGAGTGATAATGTGTGAGTGTGGTGAAAGTGTTGAATGATGATGAAAGTATTTTCTTTTTGGGGATTTTCTTTCTTTTTTTGGGGTCACCCTGCCTCGGTGGGAGACGACCGAATTGTTGAAAAAAAAAAAAATATATATATATATATATGTCGTGCCGAATAGGCAGAACTTGCGATCTTGGCTTAAATAGCAACGCTCATCTTGCCATACAGGACAAGTGAAAATTTGTGTATGCAATAATTTCGCCAAAATCATTCTGAACCTAACCTAACCTAACGAAAAAAATATATTTCACTGTGTTTGTTTAATATTAAATTATTGTAAACAAATCTAAAATATATTTAGTTGGGTTAGACTGAAATAAATTGTTCTTGTTATAATAAGGTTAGGTAGGTTTTCTAAGATTCTTTTGGATCAAAATTAAAAATTTTTACATTAACATTAATAAAAGAAATATATCTTTAAACGTATAAGAGAAAATTTTAGAAAGGATTTAATTTTAAATTTAGTTCTTGCTAATGACCAGTTTTACATATTCGGCACGACATATATATATATATATATATATATATTATATATATATATATTTTATTATATATATATATATATATTATATATATATATATATATATATATATATATATTATATATATTTTGAGATATACAAGGGTCATATTGTGGACATAGTTCAAGCTTATATTTTATATATACCATATTGTTCGGCATATAAGGCGCACTTTTCCCACAGTTGGAAAATCACCCTGTGCCTTATATGCTCAAGGTCAGGGTCAAGAGTAGGGTTTGGGCTACGCTTTAGCAGTTGTTTACTAACATTACGTTACAATTGCTTGAAATCATAAATATGTCTGTGATCGTGCGCCTTATATGCCGGAAAATGCGATATTCTTCTATCCTGTCTCTCAACTTCTCTCCTGCCTCTGCACTTACCCTTCAGTTTAATCCACAAGTTGTTTGTGTTGAAGATCTTGAAGGTTTTGACTGACTTGAAGTCATCGATGTGATCTTTAGGTACCTGTGCTATCTCCAGGAGTCTAAGCTTGTTTTCGTACTTGATGAGCGTTCCTCCCTGCGGGAGTACAAGAGCACCTAATACATCTAATGAACTAGTACATCTCTAGACGTCTCTGGCTTCAGTCACAACGTGACTTTATTGGGACAATGCTTCGCTTTGTGTAGAGCCTTTTCAAGTCATGGCTTGATAAAAACTTTACACAGAGCGAAATGTAACTAAAAGCTTGTTCTTTGTATTGTTCAGTTTGATATCTACTGGTCTGACGATCTTGGGGTCACTTCTTGACCTGGCGTGACCTCACCTTGACGTCAGCTCTGGTCTTGTCGGTGACTTCCATCAGGAAGTGGCACTGACCCGCGCGCTGACCTCCGAGCAGGAAGTTGAGGATGCTGAGGTTGACTGTAGCACCCAGATTGTCTATGTTGCTCACGAAGACGTATTCCTTGCCCTGTTGGTGAACAGAAGAGAGTTAGTGTGATTATTGTTCTGTTGGTGAACAGCAATGAGTTAGCATGCTTTTGTTGGATGGTTGCAAATTTATAGAATCATGCGACGTGCCCCTTCCCTGACCTCTAGAGGGATCGCACCTGGTATCGGCTATTCACACACATTTTTACAGTGGAAATTTTAAAGCGTTGCTCTCATGTATACTTTCATCCCCCCTTTCCTGGACGCTACCCACTGCAGCTGTCTAACAGACAAGTACCTGTTTACTGCTACGTAGATGAGGAGTAACAAGTACAAGAGAGGGACTTGCCCATACGTCTCGCCCCACTTAGCAATCGATCCTAGGCCCTTCCGCTGTGTCACTGGGTTAATGTTCCTCGTGGGGTTGGCAGATACATTTCTGCACGAGACTTCAACCTTGTATTGCCTAATTACTTAACCTGACTGCTTAACTAGCTCACCTGACTGATGAACCAGTCCAGCAGACCACAGTTGTAAAACGACTGATAGAAGTCCCCGTGACCAGGCGGGTACCACCTGGAAACAGATAAGATATATATATATATATATATATATATATATTATATATATTATATATATATATATATTATATATATATATATATATATATATATATATATATATATATATATATATATATATATTTATATATAATATAATAATAATAATAATAATAATAATAATAATAATAATAAACACTCTTATAGGTTAGGTTACGTAAGGTTCGTCAGGAAACAGGACAAGTACATCCTTATAATCTCAACAGGAATCTTCAACAGTCCAGTCCTGGGTCATATATGAGTGGGAAGCACGGAGGAAAAATGTAAAACTGGCATCAGAAAGTGCAAAGTGCACAGTGTGGTGGTCCCCGGTGGGAGAGGGACGGACATACTGCTGGCACAGTGCCATATAGATTGAACTGTCGCAATCAGCAGTCGATCAAATGTTGACTTGCATCTCGTTTCGCTTTTTAAAAGGATGACTCAGGCACATATGCTACCCTTTTGGTATGTTTATTTCCGGATATTTCAGCTGGGCAAAAGGACTCCTCAGCCGAAGACTACTACGTAGGTGAAACGTTTCAGAGTTACAGATATGAAAGGGTTGCACATGTGTCTTAGTTCTGAACTTGCTGATGGTGGTGGTGGTGTGCCTTTATCATAATGATCGCTTGTAACATGAAAAATCCTGATCCAGAAGAATTAATTTTTTATAGCTACAAGAGACAGATAGATAGAGAGAGATCTTGTTAATAAAGTTAGGAATCCTTAACTTGTAAATAGCTAGTCAATAAAGCTAGGGATCCTAAACCTAACCTTGTCAAACCCTGTGTAAAAAAAAAAAAGACACATCAAACACACCCTTCAAGGTTGTCGTCCTCAGCGCAGGTCCTGGGTATGGGCATGAGGGACTCCTTGTTGATCCTCGGGCACCGTGGACTGGTTGAAGGTATACATATCCACCTGCAGAGTGCCAACAACAGGACCAAGATTATTAGTACGGTGTAATATAATCATTTACTAACATCGTAAATAATGTATCTTTTTCCCTTCCTTTCCTCAGGATCCTCGTTTAGTGTTCATAATTTTGTAAATAATAATAATAATAATAATAATAATAATAATAATAATAATAATAATAATAATAATAATAATAATAATAATAATAATAATAATAATAATAATCTTTATTTACTACCAGTACATGTACAAGGTATACAGACCATAACTGACATCAATGACATACTGCAATATAGAAAGACGCTTATTATGCAGAGCATTTCGGGCAAATTAGGTCAGTTTTGTCCCAGGATGCGATCCACACCAGTCCACTAACACCCACGTACCCATTTTACTGATGGGTGAAAAAAAAACAAGTCCTTTTGCAATCTGTATGACTAAGTTCTACATTATTTAACTTATTAGTGTAAGGAAATCACCTGTTATTTGTAGGAATAATGACCTACACCTGACCTCTACTACACTGTACCTAGGACTTCGTAAATATGACCCACACCTGACCTGGATTGTATTACTATACGTAGTACTTGGAAAAGGGTAACCTCATGTGACATGAAATTCCAGAACCTTGTGAAAATAATGTCACGTATCTTTAGTTCACGAGAAACAACCATTCCCATCTCGTATGGAATCTGTTTTAGCAACGAATCTATTTAACTAGGAATTACTGGTACTGATCTGGAATATCTGTTAAGAAACAACAACTTTATCTGCTTAAAATTCTTGTTATTAGAATGAATCAGGAATTCCTGACGTGGAGCTTTATCAGCAAAGACCTCACTTACTTAGGGATCACCATTGGACCTGGACTGATGTGGAATCCCTGATACTTAAATATTAATGACCTCTATTACTTAGGGATCACCATCGGACCTGGACTGACCTGTAATCCCTGGTACTTGCGGATGACCTTCTTGGTCTCTTCGTCAGTGTTGAAGGAGTTCATGAGGACGAGCGGGACCCGGCAGCCATAAGTCTTGTTGAGGTGCTGCAGCGAGCAGAAGACCATCGCAGTTAAGGAGTAAAGAAGTGAGAAGTGGGACAATGAGAGATGCATGATGAGGGATATAGTATACTGTATAAGGATGCAGTGAGGAAGTGGAACACAGTGTGACTGGCACAGTAAATAACATATTCACACTCCTCTCATTCTAACTGGAATTCTTTGATATTTCCCGGCGACAGCTCCAGCCCAAGATTTTGGGTTTTATGATTAAGAAATTTAAAGATTATTACTCTAATTTCCATTTCTTTTCAAAGAGAAGGTCTGAAATCAAGCTCATATATCGTCCTAGCCTGACAGAAGAAGACTGATCCTGCTCTATTAATGTTATTAGTATTATTTAGCAAGAGCATTAACAGGTAGTAACATGTAGTAACCTAGCCAACCCTGAGTTTTCTCTTGTTCGTTTCTCACTGAATCAAGACCAAAGGTATTTTACCTCATCCAGACCAAAGAACTGACTCCACACCCACCTCGATCTGTTGGACGGTCAGGTCGAGGAAGGTGAGGTCGGAGCGCACTGGGATGATGGACTTGGGCCCCTGACAGCCCATGGAGGTGCCGAGGCCACCGTTGAGCTTGACGACCACTAGCTTGTTCAACATGGCCTTCACTGTACTCGCCTCTGGGCCCTGCAGTTCACTGTACTTGGGCACCTGTACAGAAGTGGTCACGGGATGAGGTAGTGATGACGTCGTTGACACTTGACGCAGAACAAACATATATTGGGACAATATTTCCCTCTGCGAAATATATTCCCAACTTTACAATATTTCGCAGAGCGAAATATTGTAAAGTTCTGCTCAGAGAGAAACGTTCTCAATAAAAGCTTGTTTTACAACATGTCTTTCTGTCTTCACGTTGATCTTTGTTTTTCCCCGCTAAAAATGTACTGTAACTGGCACTTTACGTTCTTTATATAGAGAACTTTAAGAACTTATATAATACTGTGTTTATATTTGATACACATATAAATCTGCAACTTCATTACTAATTTTTAATATACTGGCCGTCTCCCACTGAGGTAGGGTGACCCCGATAAAAAAAGAAGTACGTCTGTTTACATTTAGTTATTTATACGGGAGAAGGGGTTACTAGCCCCTTGTGCCGGAAAGTTTAGTCGTCTCTTACCACAATCATGACTTACAGAGGAAGGATTCTTCTCCACTTCCCCATGAATTTCAGTATTAATATTACGTACATAGAAATAAACACTAATCACCAAGAAATGTGCTCGGGAAAAAGTGAGATGGCAACAATCACTACCACCATTACACTCACCATCTAGATAAAAAAAAAACTACCACCCTCCACCTCCTTTCTCCACAACCACCCCCAACTTACCGTCCCTCCTCCAGTTTCTGAATGTTGTCCCACTCCACGCAGGGTCCAGGTTCGTTTATGAAACGCCCGAAGAGCTTTTCGAAGGCGTTCAGATCGCTCTCCGCTGCCTCCCTCAGGTGTCTGGGGCAAGTGTGTAGCAGGTTCTGCAGCTCAAAGGTCAACTGCTTCTGCGCGTCCTTCTTCGTCAGGTTCTTGCACTCGATTGAGGTCTTTCGCTGGTGGTCGAACACCTGAAGGAAAGGTATTTGCTTGTGTGTAATGAACGCATGTTAGTAGATGGAAACAGGCAAGATTTTGTGTGTGTGTGTGTGTGTGTGTGTGTGTGTGTGTGTGTGTGTGTGTGTGTGTGTGTGTGTGTGTGTGTGTGTGTGTGTGTTTACCTGGAGTTTACCTGGAGAGAGTTTCGGGGGTCAACGCCCCGCGGCCGGTCTGTGACAGGCCTCTGGTGATGCCCCTGATAACCAGGCTGTTCTGTGGCTGCCGAAAACCAAGTACGACCCACAGCCGGCTTCGGAATGATTTTAGGTGTTGCCCGTCCCGCTTGAAGATGCCAGGGGTTGTTGGAAATCCCCCTTATGTGTGGGGGGGCATTTTGAAACAGTCTCGGGCCCCTGACATTTTTGTATGGCTCTTAAGTGTTGGACCCCCTGCTTTTTTTTGGGGGGAGGGTTTTGCTCGTCTCCCAAAGTTTTTGTTTTGTGTGAGTGATTTTCGTTGCAGTTCGGTACTAGTCCCTCTAGGTTTTTCCGGTGTTTAATCATGTTTCCCCCTCCTGCGTTCCGGGGAATACAGGTTTAGAAACCTCAAGCGCCCAGAAATTGAGGTGTTTTATCTCCGTTTTGCGCGCCGTGAAAGTTCTCTGTACTTTTCTAGGTCGGCAATTTCACCTCCCTTGAAAGGTGTTTTAGAGTGCAGCAATTTCCGCCTAGAAGAACAAGTGCCCTGAAGAGTGTCACTGGGTTGCCTCCCTAGTTTTAAAGGGTTTCTCATTACCATCCTGTCATTTTTCTAGCGATGCGTGATACAATGTTATGGCCCTTAAAGGGTGAACCTCCGACATAATCACCCCCAGGTTTTGACGTTGGTTTTCGCTCTATTTTGGGGCCGGGGAATTTTTTGACTCTGAAAAGATTTAATTTCCTCATGTTACCATTCTGAGTAATTGAGTAATTGAGTAATTGTCTGCAATGGGAACTGTCATGCAGATTGGGTGTCATTGCAAAGGAAGACACGGGTGTGGCTGGAAATCTTGTCTATGTCGGTATGTGTGTGTGTGTTGTTTTTTAAAAGATCCGTATTCCCAATTTTTGGTATACGTAAAAATTGTAGGGAATAAATGATCGTTAGAAAAATGAAAGGGAAAAAGAATAAGATAATAGTGGTGTGAAAAAAGAAAAAGGCGGTTTACGTATAAAAAAAAGAGGAAGAAGAAGAGGGGAGGTGGGGGGAAGAAGAAGATATTTATTACGTGATGTGGTAAGTCGTAGCGGCAATAATAATTAAGGAAAGGAAAATCTTGTGGAAGGGGTCTCATCTTCACCTGGCTTCAAACCATCAACAAAAAACGAATGTACGGAACACTGGACCAAGGTTCGAGTCCCGCTCCCATCTTTGTTGATATACTGACAGTCATTACAACTTATCTTAGGTTCCAACTATATATGTAAGTATTCTACTAGTAGTGTCACTCAGGCAACACACTCTTATGTTGCTTTTGTTTACCTTCAACTGGTGATGTTTGTGAGAGATGACTGTACCTGCCGCCTCCCGTAATTATTCTCTGCAGTGGAATGAAAAAAAGACTGGTTGTCGACACGTTTCATCAGTAATTATAATCACGGGGAGAGCTAAACCCGTAGGATTATACAGCGCATGTGGGGGGATGGGAGGTATTCCGGCTCAATTCAACGAACCGGAGCACAGATGCAATTCCCTAGATCAAGAGCCCCTCACCAGCGTCAAGGAACCTTCCTTGACTGGACGTCTCATCAGTATAGATAGCCAGCTGTTATACGTTTCTTATTTATCATTAAAGATATTTAGGTGTTGCACATATGCACTATTTATCAATAGTCAGGTGTTAAATGTCTTATTCATCAGTAACTATAGCCAGGTGTTGAACGTGCCCTATTCATCATTACAGATAGCCAGATGTTGCACATGTGTTTTTCCTCAGTAAGATAGCCAGGTGTTGCATATATGTCTTATTCATCAATTTGCACAGTGATATACTGAACAAAATTCGTCAAGGTCGCAAACAACACTGATATCCCGCAGCCTCGACCTCTTCGTGTTTTGATAATAATCAAACAGGTTCTGGGAAATGGTAGGCAATCAGGATTGATGCAAAAGGGAGGGCAGCTCCAAGTCAGTCGATCGAAAACCCCTCACCAGGATCAAGGCATCTACCATGAAGGGAGAAACACTGTATTATCTGCTCTGACGCACTTAGTTCGAGCTATCATAGTAACCTTATCGGGAAAAAGAAGCAATTGAGGAAGCCAGAGCTCAGGGTGTTTTGTTTTTAGTGCTTCATACTCTCTCTCTCTCTCTCTCTCTCTCTCTCTCTGTCTCTCTCTCTCTCTGTCTCTGTCTCTGTCTATGTCCTCTCTCTCTCTCTCTCTCTCTCTCTCTCTCTCTCTCTCTCTCTCTCTCTCTCTCTCTCTCTCTCTCTCTCTCTCGCTCGCTCACAGCACCCGAGAACCACAGGGAGCTACAACTAATGTGAAGTTTTGATGTGAGATGGACTTCGCTTCGTACCTCGTTGTATCGGTCGAAGTTGCGAGGGAGAGTGGTGGGTGCTGTGTCCATCATGTTGCTGTTGGTGCTGCTGCTGATGGTGCTGCTGATAGTGCTGCTGCTGCTACAGGTAATGCTACTGATGCTACTGTTTGTCTTCTTGTTGATGCTGCTGCTGCTGCTGCTGCTGGTTCTTTTGTTGGTATTAGTATTGGTGCTGCTGCTGATGCTGTTGGTGTTAGCACAGCTGCTCCTGTTATTTTAATCCCACCAGTTACTCCCGTAGGCGGCAGTAAAGAACAGCAGAGAACAGTAACAGCTGTTCTTTGTTGAAGAGGAGCGGAGGTGGACAGGAACACCAGTGAATTGTCAGTTTAGAGAAATTCACTGAGTCACTATTGAATCAGTAATAGTAGTGATAACAGCAATAGTAGTAGTGTCGTAGAAGCTAATAAACAAAGTCAACAGTTACAATAAGAGGAACAGGACCAGCAGGTGGGCTGGAAGAGGCAACAAACGGACGGAGAAGGAACAGGAGCAAGGCCAGGATCAAGGATAGCTGCAGCAAAACAAGGAGCAGGAGCAATAAAAGTAGGAACAGGAACAGTATTAACAGAGAAAGCGCGCACTCAGCACCAGCTGTAAAGGCAGGACAGGAGTACCAAGATCACTAAACCTGCCACTCTTGTCTTCCCTTCTACTCTCTGGTTCTTATCATATCTTCACATAGCTGATTATTTGAGACTCGTGAGATCTTGTGCTCTCTCTCTTCTTATCTCTCGTATTTTCATTATACTTCGAGGGATTCATCAAGTCATAGTATAATGTAGCAAGGTGATGTTAATTTCGTAAGCAGAAACAAACAAGAGAGAGAAAGACTTAGTAAAATACTAAATGTAAGCCTAAAATCCTCACTTAAATACGTAATTACTCACGAAATTTGCATTTCCGCCCATCTGCAACGATACATAATGTCCCGGCAGCTCAATATAAGAAACATGGCATTAATTACGTTATCAATAAGAACAGGGTATTATTGACATTATCAACAAGTTGCTCAGGTAAGATTCCCTGCGATAACGTTGGTAACTGTTCAACCCGTGAACGATAAAGGTTATATTTGGATTAACCCGGAGGCTTAGCAGTCCAGAATAACACAGTAAATCCACTACTATCATAATAAAAAAGAAGCGCTAAACCTATAAGGGTCTTACAGTAAAGCCACTGCTATATCTGGCTTATAGCCATTGGGATGAGACACAACGATCGCCTAACACCCAGGTACCTACTGATTGCTAGGTAAGCAGAGGCAATAGGCGTATTGCCGGGGTCGAACCAGGTTCTTCAGATGAGTCGATGGTGCTACCACTTGAGCCACAATGTTATCGTTCATCTGGCACCTCCCCAATCAGCTGATTTATCAAAATATTCCAGGAGTATATTGGTAGCAATGAGTATATTACTATAATTATTATTATGAAGACTGTGGCATGCGAAGAGTACGTAACCTTTGTTCGGCGCATGTACACACCCTCATTGAAAGGCTATCTTCCCAACCAGCGAACCAGTACTAGGGTCGAGCGATGGAGCCCCCATCGTTCGATCAGTACCCAGGTTCAGCCAATAAGGTGGGACTGGCAATTGTAGAGGTGTTGTGGTCACCATCACCTGTCTACCCTTGTCATGTCCATTCTAGAACTGGTTGAGCACGGTTGTCCATTCTGTCTCCAGGTTGTGTCTTGGCCTTGCCTAAACTGTGTTGTACGCATACATTTCCAACTGTATATAGTGTACATAGCTGTACATAAGTCCTATTGCTCTTGGCGAAGGAAAATATTTTTCAAAGTCATTCACCTGTGTTGTTCTGCTCCTTGCTCCCCTTTACACCCAGGATAACAGGCCTTATTGTGCCTGAGTTGTAATAAAGACCAAGAGGAATGGGAGCATAGGTTCAAGGATTTTAAGAGGAAATTCTCGACTGTCTTCAAGGTGAAAAGAAACGAATCATTTTTAAGTGCATTTATTCTCTTCTCCGAGGCTGTGGATCCTCAATACGGCATGAGGTCAACCATCTTGTATGTTACACTGGCTTGTCTAAAATTTGTAATCAGATTCAATAACTAGGAAATCAGGAGTGAACGCACTGACAGTGGGTCCAGCCAGTAAGTAGCATTCTATTAACCGATTTTCATAGCGCAGTGGATCAGATCAACGGAACTAGCCTGGTGCCATAGCTAGACCAAAGTTCACTTTCCCGAGTGGGCTGTCAGTCAGCAGTACTTATATATTACTCAGAGATTCTCTCAATATCCCCCCCCCCTTCCCTCAGACCGCTGATTTAGAGCGTCAAGCCAACGGTCTCTCTCTGCCATACTGACAATGGTCATGCATTATTACCTATTAGAGGATATTACCGTGTGTATCACTGCAATCGACTTCTTGCTGCGCCTCCACAACTGCGCAACCACAGATCAACGGGTCATGTTGTAGCCACCTGGAGGGTTTCGGGGGTCAACACCCCCGCGGTTCGGTCTGAGACCAGGCCTCGTGGTGGATCAGGGTTTGATCAACCAGGCTGTTACTGCTGGCTGCACGCAAACTGACGTACGAACTGCAGCCCGGCTGGTCGGGTACTGACTTTAGGTACCTGTCCAGTACCTTCTTGAAGACAGCCAGGGGTCTATTGGTTATCCCCCTTATGTATGCTGATACTTATTGTGCTCTCTCTGTGTACTCGTGGCGCCCCTGCTTTTCATTGAGGAAATGTTGCATCTCCTACCGAGTCTTTTGCTTTCAAAGGGAATGATTTTCGTGCTCAAGTTTGGCACTAGACCCCTCTAGGATTTTCCAAATGTATATTATTACGTATTTCTCTCGCCTGCGTTCCAGGGAATACAAATCAAGGGACTTCAACCGTTCCCAGTAATTTAGGTGCTTGATCGTACTTACGTGTGCCGTGAAAATTCTTTGTACTTTATCGCTCTACTGTATGGTGAAAATTTGTTGTATACCCTGATACAGTTTTAATTTCCTCAAGTTATCCATATATGAGTAGTTGAAATTTTTCTTCACTGAACTTCATATTGTTTCGAGTGGCCCATTTGAAGATTTGGTTGATGTCCATTTGGTGTCTTCGATGGAGGACACTTGTCATGGCAATTCGGGTGTCATCCGCAAAGGAAGACACGGAACTATGGCTTACATCTTTGTCTATGTCAGATATGAGGATGAGGAACAGGATGGGAGCGAGTACTGTGCCTTGTGGAACAGAGCTTTTCACTGTAGATGCCTCAGACTTTACTCTGTTTGCTATTACTCTTTGTGTTCTATTTGTCAGGAAGTTATAGATCCATCTACCAACTTTTCCTGTTATTCCTTTATCACGCATTTTGTGCACTGTTACACCATGGTCACACTTGTCGAAGGCTTTTGCAAAGACTGTGTATACTACATTTGCATTTTGTTTTTCTCCTATAGCATCCAGGACCTTGTCATAGTGGTCCAGTAGCTGGGACAGGCAGGACAGATCTACTCTAAACCCATGTTGCCCTGGGTTGTCTAATTGATAGGTATTTAGGTGGTTGGCGATCTTGCTTCATAGAACCCGTTCAGAGATTTTTATGATATGGGATGTTAGTGCTATCAGTCTTTAGTTCTTTGCAATTGCTTTACTGCCACCTATGTAGAGTGGGGCTATGTCTGTTGTTTTATGTGAGTGTGGGATGACTCCTGTGTCCATGCTCCCTCTTCATAGAATGCTGAAGACACATGATTGGGGTTTCTTGCAGTTCTTGATGAATACGGAGTTCCATGAGTCTGGGCTTGGGGCAGAGTGCATGAGCATATCATTTATTGCCTTTTCAAAGTCTTGTGGTATTAGGATAATATCAGAGATTTTTGAGATGACCAAACGAGGAACATTTAGGATATTTTATTATGAACACGTTTTGGTCCTGTTTCACGTTTTGACCTTGTTTATTCCCAAGTGTTTATGTACCTTCAACCACAACTTTTCCGCATTATATACTAGGTTTTTCCCTGAACTGGTCATCATGTGACAACAACCCGTGTCTGTTTACTCTTGACAACTGCATTAATTTGAATTTCTGGATAATAGAGTTGCAAATAATAAATACGAGAATTTAGCAAACTTCAATACGAGATTATTTCCTCGTTCAGTATCACAACATTACTAAAATACAAAAGCCTAGTGCATACATCAAAAGTTTTGCATTATCTTTGCAAAGATTCTACCACAGCTTTTTTCCCACATGGGATTGCTCATTGTAGATGTAACTTATGGGATCACAGGTCAAAAAAAAAAAAGCGGAATGGTTGTGTTTATGTTCGGATGACCCATAGCCTCAGAAAAAGATATACCCACAGTAGATTTAAACAAGTGGTCATTTATACGATTAAGGCCCGTGACTGAAGGCATTTGTCCCATCTCCCCACGAATGAAACAACCAGAGTGAACAGACTCCCACAGAAGTACCATTTATGATACACAGGAATCAGGTCAGGAATATATGGACGGCAAACCTGTGCTGGAAATGTGTAACTTTAATATGAATGCTGAGCTTTGTGAATAAATATTAAACCGGAATGTTTGATTCTCGTGTGTGATGTGAATAAATATTTGGAAAACTTTGTATACGATATGTGTTTCCATACATGTGCGTATATGTAGGGTCATATGGTGAGCCTGCACATGTATACTGTGTATGGATGAACGATTCCTTACGTGACTAATATAGTCACAAGAATTATGATGCGAATATATATGAACACATGCATAAATGCATGTATGTATTTGTTGATGTATATTCGTCCGTGCATGATTCCTGCATGGAAGAATATTTACGCCAGGTTCCTTCACGTCATCAGAGTAACTCATGGCAAGCGTAGACGCTGCCGTCATCCAGGGGTAGACTGCTGGGTAGCATACAGGCCACGGAGGCAACACCTCGTACCCAGCAGTCCTTTTAAAAGCTCACACATGCACCTCGAAAACACCTATGCTCGACTCTCCAAGAGCTCGAGCACCATCCTTCAAAGACACATGCGAGGCTCCAGATGCCTCCTATACATGGCCCTCAGACGACGCCTCCAGGGTCCTGTAACAGCTTTAGTTCCTGCAGGACATTTTTGACGGCTGTCTTCACTTGGTGTTTGTACCGAAGGAGCGTTTTGTCTTCCATAAGGAACTTTTCCTTCATGCAACTGTCTTCCTTACACGTACGTGTGTAGTGGCCCAAGTATGCCTCCTTGTAATCCACTGTCTTCACATGCGACGAACATTCACCTGTGAATAAATGAATAAATATATCAACATTACGTCCAGACATCTTCTCACAGCAACATTTAAAGCCAATACCTCACATTCATATAAAAGCGTTGGTACCAATGTTCTCTGATACATTCCCTCTGCTACCTCATTGGATAAACTTTTTTTCCATAGATACCTCAACATACCACGTACATTTTTTTCCCCCTCATCTATTATATGGTTCACCTCGTCTCTCATAGACCCATCTGCGGATTTATCTGCTCCCAAATATATGACTGCATTTACTACTTCCACACTCCCTCTAATATTTGATATCCAATCTTTCATCTCCTTGACTCTGCTATTCTAGAGAGGCCTGAGCTTGCTATCACCTGCAGCTCATAAGACTGCCATCCCCACGAGCCCCTTTGGGGCGGGGCAGATGGCAGACCAGAGGCCTAGCTTCTCCCTACGAGCCCCGTGAGAGCGGGGACTGTAGCTAGGCCTGGTGACACTTGGTCCCAAAGATGAGGGGGTACTTGTACCTCCTCCCATGGGAGACTTAGGTCTCGAGATACTCCCCAGATAGGGAACCAAGGCCGGGTCACCACTACTTTGAAAAGACCCGGGCCGGGAGAGTACCGGCGAATAAGAAAAAAAAAATCTGCTATTCTCATAACCTAAAATTCCTCCAACAACCTCTACAACTTCTCTTCAGAATCTCCCAGAAGATTTGTATCATCAGCAACGAGGAATTGTGACAACTCCCACTTTGTATCACATCCATTATCCTCTCCCCAACATCCCGACACTTACTTTACAACTCCATCTATAAATATGTTAAACATATTTATGAGAGTATTTTTACATTATATATTTTTAACACACTAGTCGACTCCCACCGAGGAAGGGTGACCCAAAAAAAAGAAACACTTTCACCACCATTCACACTATCACTGTCTTTGCAGAGAGGCGCAGATAAGAGAGTTTAGATAAAAAGCATATTCATATAAAAGCATATTTATATAAAAGCATATTAAGCCTGAGGCTGCGCTCTCACCAGAGGCACAGACGAGGGGGCCGTGAGAAAAGACTCCTGTTACGGTGTCCATGTCGTAGATTGTCTTGACGGTACCACCGGTTCGAGGAAAGTTACTCTTAGTCCGCTTCGTGTGTCCCAACACGTGTAAATACTGGGTCTCGTTTGTTGGAGTGTACACGTTGTCGTAGAAGATGTTCCACTGCAGTTGGTAACCTGAAGGAGGGCTCTTCCGACTCAGCTCACTGTGAGATACAGACCAAACATACTTTGATTTACTCACAATATTCAGTGTAACAGAAGAGCAGCAGTTTTCGGGTGTTTCGTAGTTCAATGGTAGTCTGTTCAGATGACAATAAAAAGGACCCAGGCTCGATTCCCAGGAGGAGACTAACGGAAAAAATACAGAAGGTACAAATTTGGGTTGCATCACTGGTCCAAGATGATACTGAACACTGAAGTAAACAAGACTTTCTGCTCACTGGGAGGTTTATCAGTCCAGTACAGAGTGTGAAGGAAAAAAAAGTGTATGTGAATGGGACACGGTCAGATGTAGGGCGCACGGTGGGTCACAGCCTGTAGAGAGTTGTTAGGAAACTAAGGTCACTTAATTGACAGGTTTTTATGGGGTGTTATAATTTAGTTAAGACACTAGATACGCTAACAAATACCGGTGGTCTGAACAATTATATCTGACTTGGCAATGTTCATTCCTGACACCGCTACCTTCGTATATCTCATTCTCTTTAATGACCCGTCTGACTTCATCTCACTTCATAAGGTGTCCATGAGAATTTCAGTATAGGACGTAGGCATTAAAATTATTCCCACTACATAAAGAACTGTGTTCTTTCTAACGTTCCTCGACGTTTCAACCAACACATCTTTACCGTGCAAGAATGGTATACAATACCGACAAGATGAAATTAAGACACATGTGCAACATCTGGGTATCTTTATTGTAGACGTTTCGCCATCCAGTGGCTTTATCAATACAAATTCTAGGACATAACTTGAAGACAGTAGAACTATGTACAGAAGATAAGGTAATCAGTCCCTCAACCTAGGAGTTGGTGCGAAGAGCACCATAGTCGTGGAGATTCTGAAGCAGAAGCAAGGCGCCTGACGCTTATATACTAACGTCAGGTGGAAATGGGACGGGTAGCAGACGAGGGCATAGTCGCTGGTAGGCGGGATTCCCCAGTGGAAGTAGGTCCTACCCAAAGAGATGGGTTAGTTGTAGTAGTAGTTGTCGTAGTCGTGAAGGTTATGTACAAGTCCTCAGAATCAAGATTCCATGATGTTGCAGTGTCTGACAAGTTGTACAAGAATGGTATACAATACCGACAAGATGAAATTAAGACACATGTGCAACATCTGGGTATCTTCACGACTATGACAACTACTACTACAACTAACCCATCTCTTTGGGTAGGACCTACTTCCACTGGGGAATCCAGTGACTATGCCCTCGTCTGCTACCCGTCCCATTTCCACCTGACGTTAGTATGTAAGCGTCAGGCTCCTTGCTTCTGCTTCAGAATCTCCACGACTACGGTGCTCTTCGCACCAACTCCAAGGCTGAGGGACTGATTACCTCATCTTCTGTACATAGTTCTACTATCTTCAAGTTATGTCCTAGAATTTGTATTGATAACCGATATAAGCTGGGAAGATATACTAAGCAACACAGACCCCAACTTATGCCTAGAACAGATTAACTTGGTGGCACTCGATGTATGCACAAGGCTTATTCCTCTAAGAAAAAGGAGGAGTAGATGTAAAATAGAAAGAGACAGGCGCTCCCTTTACAGGCGACGGAAAAGAATAACAGAGCGGCTAAAAGAGGTCAATATATCTGAAATGCGTAGGGAGACACTGGTCAGAGAAATAGCAAGCATCGAACTTAAGCTAAAGGAATCTTATAGGAGTCAGGAATCGCGGGAAGAACTAAAAGCCATAAATGAAATCAAAAGAAACCCAAAGTATTTCTTCTCCTATGCCAAATCAAAGTCGAGAACAACGTCCAGTATTGGGCCCCTACTTAAACAAGATGGGTCCTACACAGATGACAGCAAGGAAATGAGTGAGCTACTCAAGTCCCAATATGACTCAGTTTTTAGCAAGCCGCTAACCAGACTGAGAGTCGAAGATCAAAATTATTTTTTATGAGAGAGCCACAAAATTTGGTTAACACAAGCCTATCCGAAGTTATCCTGACGCCAAATGACTTCGAACAGGCGATAAATGACATGCCCATGCACTCTGCCCCAGGGCCAGACTCATGGAACTCCGTGTTCATCAAGAACTGCAAGAAGCCCCTATCACGAGCCTTTTCCATCCTATGGAGAGGGAGCATGGACCCGGGGGTCGTCCCACAGTTACTAAAAACAACAGACATAGCCCCACTCCACAAAGGGGCAGTAAAGCAACAGCAAAGAACTACAGACCGATAGCACTAACATCCCATATCATAAAAATCTTTGAAAGGGTCCTAAGAAGCAAGATCACCACCCATCTAGAAACCCATCAGTTACACAACCCAAGGCAACATGGGTTTAGAACAGGTCGCTCCTGTCTGTCTCAACTATTGGATCACTACGACAAGGTCCTAGATGCACTAGAAGACAAAAAGAATGCAGATGTAATATATACAGACTTTGCAAAAGCCTTCGACAAGTGTGACCATGGCGTAATAGAGCACAAAATGCGTGCTAAAGGAATAACAGGAAAAGTCGGTCGATGGATCTTTAATTTCCTCACTAATAGAACACAGAGAGTAGTCGTCAACAGAGTAAAGTCTGAGGCAGCTACGGTGAAAAGCTCTGTTCCACAAGGCACAGTACTCGCTCCCATCTTGTTCCTCATCCTCATATCCGACATAGACAAGGATGTCAGCCACAGCACCGAGTCTTCCTTTGCAGATGACACCCGAATCTGCATGACAGTGTCTTCCATTGCAGACACTGCAAGGCTCCAGGCGGACATCAACCAAATCTTTCAGTGGGCTGCAGAAAACAATATGAAGTTCAACGATGAGAAATTTCAATTACTCAGATATGGTAAACACTAGGAAATTAAATCTCCATCAGAGTACAAAACAAATTCTGGCCACAAAATAGAGCGAAACACCAACGTCAAAGACCGGGAGTGATCAAGTCGGAGGATCTCACCTTCAAGGACCATAACATTGTATCAATCGCATCTGCTAGAAAAATGACAGGATGGATAATGAGAACCTTCAAAACTAGGGAGGCCAAGCCCATGATGACACTCTTCAGGTCACTTGTTCTATCTAGGCTGGAATATTGCTGCACACTAACAGCACCTTTCAAGGCAGGTGAAATTGCTGACCTAGAAAATGTACAGAGAACCTTCACGGCGCGCATAACGGAGATAAAACACCTCAATTACTGGGAGCGCTTGAGGTTCCTAAAACTGTATTCCCTGGAACGCAGGCGGGAGAGATACATGATTATATACACCTGGGAAATCCTAGAGGGACTAGTACCGAACTTGCACACGAAAATCACTCACTACGAAAGCAAAAGACTTGGCAGACGATGCAACATCCCCCAATGAAAAGCAGGGGTGTCACTAGCACGTTAAGAGACCATACAATAAGTGTCAGGGGCCCGAGACTGTTCAACTGCCTCCCAGCATACATAAGGGGGATTACCAACAGACCCCTGGCAGTCTTCAAGCTGGCACTGGACAAGCACCTAAAGTCGGTTCCTGACCAGCCGGGGTGTGGCTCGTACGTTGGTTTGCGTGTAGCCAGCAGTAACAGCCTGGTTGATCAGGCTCTGATCCACCAGGAGGCCTGGTCACAGACCGGGCCGCGGGGGCGTTGACCCCCGGAACTCTCTCCAGGTAAACTCCAGGATGGCGAAACGTCTACAATAAAGATACCCAGATGTTGCACATGTGTCTTAATTTCACATCTTTACCGTATTTGTCACAAAGAATGACAAACACCTGTGTTGGGGCTTACTGAGGTTAAGAACATAAGAACATAAGAACGAAGGAACACTGCAGAAGGCCTACTGGCCCATGCGAGGCAGGTCCAAGTTAGAAAATCTCTCTCTCACAAGATCCATGATGGTAGCAGAGGTACTATTAGCTACATTCACTAAGCTTAGAGAAAACGTCAGAGATGCTACTAGCAACTCAATCACACGGAGATACCATGTATCTCAGGTGTGCGATGCCTTCTGGCTACGTTAGTGAAACCAGGTTCTCTCGTAGTCGCTGACAAAGTGGGAGGGAAAATTGTTATACTTTTACTAATACCATTTTACTAGAACTAAGAGAGGTGTGGTCATTGGCTTTCTCTCTAGAATTTACAGGACTCCCAGCCCCACTTCTTGACAGGTGTTCGTACATTCGTCAGATGTTCACCCGTTGTCAATTCCCCTCCACTTGGTCAACGTATCCTATCGATTACTAAACAGTTCGAAAATTGACATGATTATTCTATGTTAATAATTTATATTCGCTCAAGATGTACAAGGGTGTTGAAGTCTTGAGTTCCAGTATGCTGAAATTTGCAGAAATAATCAAGATACAAGGTGAGGAGTTGTGAACAGATCACTCATTGTGTTCAATAATCTCTATCTTTTGTACTGACATATCTCACAAGAGATCAGATTTTACGAAAAGAATTTACTTTTAACTGCCTCATTGCCAAAACTCTTCCATTCTTTCCATTTCTTCTTCGGCTCGCCATCATCCATCCCCCCTTCCCTTCCACCTACCAACATTTGTGGGCTACTCATTGGTGTATAAATGGAAAATAGGAATAAATAAAGGGGATGTAAATAACGTGCTGAAAATTTCCAGCCAAGACAGGACTAGCAGGAATGGTTTCAAGTTGGAAAAATTCAGATTCAGAAAGGATATCGGAAAGCACTGGTTTGGTAATAGAGTTGTGGAACAGGCTAAAACGTTGTGTAGTTTTAAAAATAGGTTAGATAAATACATGAGTGGGTGTGGGTGGGTGTGAGTTGGACCTGACTAGCTTGTGCTGCCGGGTCTGGTGCAGTGCTCCATCCTTGAGTGGAGATGATCAGACTGGGTGGGTCATTGGGCTAATCCGGGGGTGGGGGGTCATTGGTCTAATCCGGGGGGGGGGACATGGACCTGCTCCGCATGGGTCAGTAGGCCTGTTGCAGCGTTCCTTCTTTCTTATGTTCTTATCTTCAGAGCCGCGGAAAATCTCAAGAGACTTGGTAGAAATTCTTCCACCACTGTCACCAACTATCAGAGCGTGTTTGGCTGACGAGCAGCCCACAAATCTTGTGAGGTTAGAACGTCGTGGTCTGACTAGTTGTCATGTATAGATGAGACAGCAACTGCCAGTATGCCAGTGGGAAGCAGCGGGGTTCTCCTGCTTGTGATAGATAGGGTTACAGTGGGAAAGAGATGCAGAGGAAGCTACTACTCTGTAGTATATAGGTAGCAAGGTAGATGGCAATACAGGGGCCGAGGGGTAAAGGGGTAAAACACAGAGTCTGGGCACGACACTGAAACGTGTATTGCACGCAAGGTTTACAAATGTGGTGGAGCAGTGAGTGCAGTGGAATAATGATGAAGCATCAGTTAGGACCCTAGAAGATAATTTATTCTGATTAATAAACATGCAAGTCAAGCGGTTTGGCTTATTCCAGCTAGTACCCCTTGTAAGTTCTTCATCCAGGATGCAACCAACAAGAGTCGACTAACTCCTAGGTACCTATTTGGTGCTAGGTTAGACGACCAACTGTACGTCCCTAGGTTAGACGACCAACTGTACGTCCCTAGGTTAGACGACCAACCGTACGTCCCGTCTCGCCCAAGGTTCAACCAGAATGCCTTCCATTGTGGACAGAAGTCGACCACTGCGCTACAAAATACCTTCATCTTAAGGGGGAGTGACAACTAGCGCATTCGATACCAGTAATAATGAAATGAATACTACCAGAAACTAAAATTAATGACAAGTGGAAACTTGCAGATATTATTGTTAAAGAAATAGACAAATTAAAGTGCACTGATTTACCATCAGTTTTCAAAACATCATCTTAAGTAAATGGAAATTGTTAGCATGTACAGTATGATACATTTTCTGGTGGATAACAATAGATTTATTGTTAGTTTCATAAGATTCTACCTAATAAATTTATTATTATTCATAAATTACACAACCAGGACTTAAAGAATCTACACAAAGTACCAAAAGTTTCATAACTCCCTTGACAAATTATCGCAAAGTGGAAGTCCTAAGGAATATTACCGTTGATATAACAAGATAGACAACGATCCAGAGACTTAGTGAGAGAACGTGAAGAACTGTGTTTAAAACACACACCATAAAAACAAACATATACACAAAAATACACACAAAAACCATACACTTGCTAACACCATACACCTACACACACCATTCACCTACACACACACACACACACACGTGGTGTCAGAGTGGGCACCTGTGACCAGCGGGGTCCCGCAGGGGTCAGTCCTAGGACCAGTGCTGTTTCTGGTATTTGTGAACGACATGACGGAAGGAATAGACTCTGAGGTGTCCCTGTTTGCAGATGACGTGAAGTTGATGAGAAGAATACACTCGATCGAAGACCAGGCAGAACTACAAAGGGATCTGGACAGGCTGCAGACCTGGTCCAGCAATTGGCTCCTGGAGTTCAATCCCACCAAGTGCAAAGTCATGAAGATTGGGGAAGGGCAAAGAAGGCCGCAGACGGAGTACAGTCTAGGGGGTCAGAGACTACAAACCTCATCAAGGAAAAAGATCTTGGGTGAGTATATACACCAGGCACATCTGAAGCGCACATCAACCAAATAACTGCTGCAGCATATGGGCGCCTAGCAAACCTCAGAACAGCATTCCGACATCTTAATAAGGAATCGTTCAGGACCCTGTACAACCGTATACGTTAGGCCCATATTGGAGTATGCGGCACCAGTTTGGAACCACACCTAGCCAAGCACGTAAAGAAACTAGAGAAAGTGCAAAGGTTTGCAACAAGACTAGTCCCAGAGCTAAGAGGTATGTCCTACGAGGAGAGGTTAAGGGAAATCAACCTGACGACACTGGAGGACAGGAGAGATAGGGGGGACATGATAACGACATACAAAATACTGAGGGGAATTGACAAGGTGGACAAAGACAGGATGTTCCAGAGATTGGACACAGTAACAAGGGGACACAGTTGGAAGCTAAAGACACAGATGAATCACAGGGATGTTAGGAAGTATTTCTTCTCAGCCACAGAGTAGTCAGTAAGTGGAATAGTTTGGGAAGCGATGTAGTGGAGGCAGGATCCATACATAGCTTTAAGCAGAGGTATGATAAAGCTCACGGCTCGGGGAGAGTGACCTAGTAGCGATCAGTGAAGAGGCGGGGCCAGGAGCTCGGACTCGACCCCCGCAACCTCAACTAGGTGAGTACAACTAGGTGAGTACACACAACACACACACACCATACACACCCACACAAACATATAACCATACAACCCACACACACACACACACACACACCATACACCCACACCCACACACATACCATAACACCACACACACACCATACACCCACACACACACACACACACATACCATACACCCACACACACAATACCATACACCCACACACACACCATACACCCGCACATACACATACCATACACCCACACACACACACAAAACACACACCATCGACATGTGCCTAGGATAAAATGGTAACTAACCATACACCCACACACACACACACATACCATACACCCACACACACACACACACATACCATACACCCACACACACAACAATACCATACACCCACACACACACACACATACCATACACCCACACACACACAACACCACCATACACCCACACACACACACCATACACCCACACACACACACACACCACACATACACCACACACACACACACACACACACACACACACACACACACACACACACACACACACACACACACACACACACACACACCTGCTGAGAAGGTCGTTGAAGAAGTCGGTGAAGGACTCGTTATGGATGATGACAGGCACTTCGTCGGGGTCGAAGTGAGCGATGAAGCGGTGTTGATGCATGTGTCTCAGCAGACAGTCACTAAAATATATGTTCTCCTGAGCGAACATCTCGTGTCGGTTCAGGTTCGTCCACAACCTGTCAACCACAGTGTAATATGTGAACAAACTAGAGAACACAAAAAAACTGTACAGAAAGGCTACAGATACGAACTTTAGAATACTGGAATGGAATAAATGAGAAGCAGCAGGTGCTATAACCGCTGAATATATGCACAGCTTCAAGAAGAGAAATGACTGCCCACGAGGCAACACACACACGCGCGCGCGAAATGGTGCAGGCAGGCTTCATACACAGTGTTCAGAACAGGTACCAAAAGGTCAACGAGGCTAGGAAGGAGTGAATCTGGGGAGTGGCACTAGGCAATTACAAATGGGCGAATACAAATAGGCGATTACACGCAGTACTGGGGAAAATGTTCCTAATAAATAGATCAAGGGATTGAATTACAATAGGATTAAGTTCTAGAACCGTTGAAAATTTACAAAAAAATTACATTAAGAAATTGTTGAAGAGAGGACACCAGCCCTGCTTCTGTGACTACAAATAGGTAACTACAAAAATGGGTGATTACAAAAATAGGTGATTAAGAAAATATGTAATTGCAAAAACAGGCAATTACAAAAGCAGGTAATTAAAAAAAATAGGCAATTACAAAAAAATAGGTAATTACCCACCTGCGGGTGTTGGGATCGTTGTCATAGGGCGGAGGATAGTGGTACCTGGTCACTTCCACGAAGCCACTAGTCTCGTAGTACCGCAGCACCTTCTGCAGGTTGGGGTGCACTTCGGTCTCATAGAGGAACACCCTGGCGATGTCCATCGCCTTCAGCAACTCCAGCCACTCCACCACGCGAGAGGAGAAGTCTTGCTGGTAGTAGTACAACGCTGGACCACACACTCCTACAGTGTACCTAAACAATAATAATAATGTAAAACCAAATTTAGCCATTTATAGATTAAAATTCAAAGAGACTAGGTTCATGGTCAAATGCCAATAAAACGTAATTTCTTTGAGAGAGAAAAAAAAACAAGTAATTAAATAAATTCTGAAACTGTGTTCGATTTATACGAGTAAACTGAGTTGTTTTTCAATGATATAATCAACACTAAAGCTATGATTTTTTTTTTCCAAACCAAACTCGTCAGTGCGCGAAACGGTGTCCCTAAATAAAGACTTGGTAGGTCGTAAGTCAGGAAATTTTTATAGAGAGAAAGGAGTCTTCATGGTGGGAAATGTGTTAGCAGGAAGGTTGAAGGTAATGAGGTAGGCTGCTTGTATGGTAATGTAATTGACTGAGGTAATGAGGCAGGCTGTTGTATGGTACTGTAATTGATTGAGGTAATGAGGCAGGCTGCTTGTATGGTACTGTAATTGATTGAGGTAATGAGGCAGGCTGTTGTATGGTACTGTAATTGATTGAGGTAATGAGGTAGGCTGCTTGTATGGTAATGTAATTGACTGAGGTAATGAGGCAGGCTGCTTGTATGGTACTGTAATTGATTGAGGTAATGAGGCAGGCTGCTTGTATGGTAATGTAATTGACTGAGGTAATGAGGCAGGCTGCTTGTATGGTACTGTAATTGAGGTAATGAGGCAGGCTGCTTGTATGGTACTGTAATTGATTGAGGTAATGAGGTAGGCTGCTTGTATGGTAATGTAATTGACTGAGGTAATGAGGTAGGCTGCTTGTATGGTACTGTAATTGATTGAAGTAATGAGGTAAGCTGCTTGTATGGTAATGTAATTGACTGAGGTAATGAGGCAGGCTGCTTGTATGGTACTGTAATTGATTGAGGTAATGAGGCAGGCCGTTGTATGGTACTGTAATTGATTGAGGTAATGAAGTAGGCTGCTTGTATGGTACTGTAATTGATTGAGGTAATGAGGCAGGCTTTTGTATGGTACTATAATTGATTGAGGTAATGAGGCAGGCTACTTTTATGGTAATGTAATTGATTGATGTAATGAGGCAGGCTGCTTGTATGGTAATGTAATTGATTGAGGTAATGAGGCAGGCTGCTTGTATGGTAATGTAATTGATTGAGGTAATGAGGTATGCTACTTGTGTGGGAAATGTAACTGCTCAAGGTAATTATATGTCTAACTAGGTTTAAAGTGATCTCTTATTAGTGCCTATAATTATGTTTAAATATGGACGGGGGGTTGATAAATCCGTCTTTAGCATGGGGTAAGTTCATTCCATGCAGTTTTTATCATAACATAGCCGTGGCATACCCAAGCCTGCCTTGTCCAGAACAGACACGGTGAAATATAATAAATACCACTGATAACAGCTACTACTAATCTTATTTTTTACAGGGGTGGACGGGTAAGCCAGTGGTGGGTCATCATATGACTATGATCCGCATCAGGAAACACTTGTCCTGTTTCCTGACATAATTTACCTGATTTAACCTAATCATCCTTATTATCGTATGCCAAGTAGGGAAAATTAAAAATAGTTCAACTGGTGGGGAATAAATTGATTTTTTTTTTTTTATTCGCCGGTATTCTCCCGGCCCGGGTCTTTTCCAAGTAGTGGTGACCCGGCCTTGGCTCCCTATCTGGGGAGTGTCTCGAGACTTAAGTCTCCCATGGGAGGAGGTACAATACCTCCTCATCTTTGGGACCAAGTGTCCCAGGCTAGCCACATTCCCGCCTCACGGGCTCGTGGGGAGAAGCTAGCCTTGGTCTGCCTTACCCGCCTCGAAGGCTCGTGGGGATGGCAGCCTTATGAGCTGCAGATGGTAGCAAGCTCAAGCCTTAAAATTGCGATAAGAAATTGATTCTTATCGCATAACTAAAAGTTAAATAAATAGTAAATGAACTATATTAATAAATAGCTATTAAGGTATCATAATACATATATATAAATTCACGTCTTGAAATACAGTGTAAAAAAAGGCATGACTTATTTTCGAAAAAAATTGCATGAGCGACCCCTCAAAATACGAGTTGAAAACAACATCTGATTGCTTAATAAGTCACATGGTGTTCTTGTCCTATTTCCAGGCGAATAAAATAACAACAGTAATGAGATATTCTCTTACGTCTAAGACGTGTTTGACATAACTGGACTCGTACACCCATCTGGTGCCCCACTGTACCTCTAGAGACAGTGACAGTGCTTGAATGTTCCAGGAAGACGGTAAGATTAATTACCTGGAAGCTGACTGGAAACCCTGGACACACGGCGTTTTCCATGGTCAACATCTTGCTTCCCTCAAGCTATAAGGAATTACCGTACGCACAGGAAACCATTTACTTTGATTCTGTGCGTGCCAGCAGAATTTCTTACCCTTGAACGAAGCCTCTCCCGTCGTCCTCCCATGACTCCTGAGATGTTCCTACTACCAGTGTGTTGAATTAAATGAGAGGGGTTATATATGGATACCTTAAGACGATGGTGTCAGGATGTGTTGAGCAATGGGCCGTATAAAAGGTTACGTAGCTATAAGGAGAAATTATTAATTTTACAGAGAATCACACACTGGTAGGAAAATATTAAACTGAGAATATTGAATCATATAGAACCAGCTGATCAAATGGTTAGCACAACGGCAGTTGAGGTTTAAAACTCACTTGTCATTGGTACCTCCCCCCCCCCGTTCCCCAATAAGCTTGCAATCGTGTTAATACGATTTGACTCACTAAATCATCCAGTTTACTTACTGTGGTCCTGTGGATTTCCTCGTTCTTAAGCTCAGATATTATAGCTTTACTAATTAGTATCATTACTAGGTACTAATTAATTAATGGTTGCCTGGCAGCCATCAATATTTTATCTTAGAATGTTCTTACTGAGCGAAATCAGCCACAACTCACCTGGTAGAAGAGTGAGGTGGCAGATCATGAACATAAGCAGAGGCTTCTCGTGTTCCAGAGCCAACAACCTGTAGTAAGAAATACAACAATAACACCTCACAACTGTGTTACCTTCAATAATAATAATAAAGTACAACAAATAAAAAGGTGTAATAAAAATTAAATAATTAGTACAATATTAAAAATCTGATGTAAAGCAGAACCCACCAGTATACTGCTAGATCAGATAAGAACAAACCAGTACAATGGTAGATCAGATAAGAAACCACCAGTATACTGGTAGATCAGATAAGAAAAAAACAGTACAATGGTAGATCAGATAAGAACAAACCAGTACAATGGTAGATCAGATAAGAACCCACCAGTATACTGGTAGATCAGATAAGAACCCACCAGTACAATGGTAGATCAGATAAGAAACCACCAGTACAATGGTAGACCAGATAAGAGCCCACCAGTATATTAGTAGATCAGATAAGAACCCACCAGTATATTGGTACATCAGATAAGAACCCACCAGTATATTAGTAGATCAGATAAGAACCCACCAGTATATTGGTACATCAGATAACCCACCAGTACAATGGTAGATCAGATAAGAACCCACCAGTATACTGGTAGATCAGATAACCCACCAGTACAATGGTAGATCAGATAAGAACCCACCAGTATACTGGTAGATCAGATAAGAACCCACCAGTAAACTGGTAGATCAGATAAGAACCCACCAGTACAATGGTAGATCAGATAAGAACCCACCAGTAACTGTAATCAGATAAGAACCCACCAGTACAATGGTAGATCAGATAAGAACCCACCAGTATACTGGTAGATCAGATAAGAACCCACCAGTACAATGGTAGATCAGATAAGAACCCACCAGTACAATGGTAGATCAGATAAGAACCCACCCGTATACTGGTAGATCAGATAAGAACCCACCAGTATACTGGTAGATCAGATAACCCACCAGTACAATGGTAGATCAGATAAGAACCCACCAGTACAATGGTAGATCAGATAAGAACCCACCAGTATACTGGTAGATCAGATAAGAACCCACCAGTATAACTGGTAGATCAGATAAGAACCCACAGTACAAGGTAGATCAGATAAGAACCCACCAGTACAATGGTAGATCAGATAAGAACCCACCAGTATACTGGTAGATCAGGTAAGAACCCACCAGTATACTTGTATATCAGGTAAGAACCCACCAGTATACTGGTAGATCAAATAAGAACCTACCAGTGCAATGGTAGATCAGATAAGAACCCACCAGTATACTGGTAGATAAGAACTCACCAGTATACTGGTAGATCAGATAAGAACCCACCAGTATACTGGTAGATCAGGTAAGAACCCACCAGTATACTGGTAGATCAGGTAAGAACCCACCAGTATATGGTAGATCAGATAAGAACCACCAGTATACATGGTAGATCAGTAAGAACCCACCAGTATACTGGTAGATCAGTAAGAACCCACCAGTAATGGTAGATCAGGTAAGAACCCACCAGTATACTTGTATGATCAGTAAGAACCCACCAGTATACTGGTAGATCAGTAAGAACCTACCAGTATATGGTAGATCAGTAAGAACCCACCAGTATACTGGTAGATGGGTAAGAACCCACCAGTATACTGGTAGATCAGATAAGAACTCACCAGTTACTGTAGATCAGATAAGAACCCACCAGTATACTGGTAGATCAGGTAAGAACCCACCAGTATACTGGTAGATCAGGTAAGAACCCACCCATATACTGGTAGATCAGATAAGAACCCACCAGTATACTGGTAGATCAGGTAAGAACCCACCAGTATACTGGTAGATCAGGTAAGAACCCACCAGTATACTTGTATATCAGGTAAGAACCCACCAGTATACTGGTAGATCAGGTAAGAACCCACCAGTATACTGGTAGATCAGGTATGAACCCACCAGTATACTGGTAGATCAGGTAAGAACCCACCAGTATACTGGTAGATCAGGTAAGAACCCACCAGTATACTGGTAGATCAGGTAAGAACCCACCAGTATACTGGTAGATCAGGTAAGAACCCACCAGTATACTGGTAGATCAGGTAATGAACCCACCAGTATACTGGTAGATCAGGTAAGAACTCACCAGTATACTGGTAGATCAGGTAAGAACCCACCAGTATACTGGTAGATCAGATAAGAACCCACCAGTATACTGGTAGATCAGGTATAACACTCACCAGTATACTAGCAGATCCAACGTCAATGGATTCATACAAGCTCTCGTTTTTATAATTTCCATATTTGTGGTCATATTACATATATACATATATATATATACATATGGATATATTATAATGCCACGATATCAAAAAGGATTGGACATTATTGTGAATCCCTGTATATAGTGTTACAATGAAGCTTTAATTGATCAGCTTCCTTACATATATTTAGCTGGTCACACAATGATATATTTTACGAGTGAGTTTAAAATTATACAATGCTAGGTTAAATATTTTAACATTGCATAGTTTCTTTATATATTGTACTTATAAATTTAATGACCTTGTCTAAATATTTATATTTATGAGGAATTTTATCAGGTTACTTCTTAAAGCAAGCCATCGGTCTCTTAGTAATTCTTGTGTGAAGGGAGGGTGTTGAAAAGTCTTGGTGCCTGTACATTACTGACTTGTCTCTTATTGCACACCTGCTCTTCTAGAATCTCTTTCGTAGGAAGTGATTTCAGTGTGCAGATTTGGGACGAATCAATCCAGAATTTTTTCAGATGTTCCCAATAATGTAGGTGCTTAACTGAATTAATACTGGCAGTGAAGGTTCTCTGTACATTCTCTAAATCTGCAATTTCACCTTCCTTAAAAGGAGCTGTTAATTACAGCAATAATGAGATACAATAATAATGGATCTGCTATATGATTAAGACCCGTGTCAGGAGACACTAGTTCTGTCTCCCGGCGAATATTATAGCAACAATATACCAATATTCTAGAGGAAAATAAATGCCTAAGAGTATCAACAATGGCGTCTCTATATTCAAAGATTCTAGTTATCCAGAACACCTTTTTTTTGGCAGTTGTGATAATAACACTGTTGTGATCCATGACTTCTGGATTGTGGGATATAATAGAATAATTTAAATAAAGTTTGAGAAATTAACAACTGATTCTAATAAAACCGAAATTAATCCTTTCTTTGGGAGATTCACCAGCTTGGTTTATTAACCTACATGGGTTTAAAACTTAATGTGAATCATATGATAATAATAATGTCAATATATAGGCTTTTCTTCGGAAATTTTTTTTTTTAGTTTACCATTTTAAGAGAAAAATTAAGTAATTAAAAAAGAAATTTACTTATAATATCTAGCAGAAAAAAATATAAATTACAGGATTTATCAGGAACAAGAACTTTTTTTTTTTTTGTAAATTAAAAGTGTGTTGGTGCGGAGGCTTGGCCAGTGTATGTGCAGGTGATGGTACAACTTGTAATAATGATGTACAATACCTGTAAGGTATTGTATCTCATTACTGTGTCATGAGGTATTGTATACCATTATTGTGTGTCATTATTATGTCATGAGGTATTGTATACCATTATTGTATGTCATTATTATGTCATGAGGTATTGTATACCATTATTGTATGTCATTATTATGTCATGAGGTATTGTATACCATTATTGTATGTCATTATTATGTCATGAGGTATTGTATACCATCATTGTATGTCATTATTATGTCATGAGGTATTGTATACCATTATTGTATGTCATTATTATGTCATGAGGTATTGTATACCATATTGTATGTCATTATTATGTCATGAGGTATTGTATACCATTATTGTATGTCATTATTATGTCATGAGGTATTGTATATCATTATTGTATGTCATTATTATGTCATGAGGTATTGTATACCATTATTGTAAGATTTTTTTGACTGACACCGACATGTGGAATCTGGACATTGTTGATATATGTCCTACAATCTATATGGCCTGGGGGGGGGGGATAATGGGGGTTCATTATATGATTAAGACCCGGAATGACGAAACATCTGTCGAATCTTACCTAACGTAACCTATATGCTGACCTCCGGCCCAACTCTTGGGTCCCCCTCGCCTGTGACGGTAGCTGTAACTGCTGCATCTCATCTGACTCCAGCATATAAGAGTTCATTTTCCTTCTTAAAATTCAAGATCTAATGGCTATAATCATAGCCATAATTTTTAAAGAAGTGGACCGGAAAGCCAGTGGGGGGCGTCGGTCAGATGACCAAAAGCTCCAGCTGCGGGTCATCACATAACCGAGACCTGCGTCAGGAAACACTTGTCCTTTTTCCTGGCAAACCTTACCTAATCTAACCTAGCCTATGATTCAAATTCTTTACGAATTAAAGTGCTGAACACCTGCTTCCAGGCTAAGGGACTGATTACCTCAACTTCCACTGTCTTCTGTATGTCGAAACGTCTTTAAATAAAGATATCCAGGTGTAGCACGTGTGTCTAATTCCTAATTGTATAAAAGAGGAGTGACAATGTGGAGGATTTACTAAGAGGATGATTCACATGGAAAAAGATTTACCTGGAGGAGGTTGGAGGTGGAGGTGCATGGATTGGGTAGGATGGAGGCAGCGATGGGTTGGAGGTGAGCCACGTGTGAGGGCACCTTGCAAGTCACCAGGAAAGGCATGATGCTTCCAGTTCTCTGCTTTTGGTAGTCAAGGTATTCTGGGAGAAGGAAGGGAGGTGGGGAGGAAGAGGATATGGGAGAGAGAGAGAGATGTAAGGATCAGTATTAGGTTTGGGATAAACACATAGGGAAGGAAGAAGAAAATAGGGAGAAGAGAGGAAAAAAAAAGAGATATAGAGATATACCACAGATTAATATTCTTCGTATGTTTGTGTTTAATAAATGAAAATAAACATTGATGACCTGAATATTTTATTAAAATATACAAATAAACAATAATACAAAACACACATATACACGTTTAAATAAAAATGTTCATAATTATAATGTTGCATGTATGTAAATATATATAATACTGTTGACAATCAACACGCTGCAGTCAAGTCTGGTTGACAATCAACACGCTGCTGTCAAGTCTGGTTGACAATCAACACGCTGCTGTCAAGTCTGGTTGACAATCAACACGCTGCTGTCAAGTCTGGTTGACAACCAACACGCTGCAGTCAAGTCTGGTTGACAATCAACACGCTGCTGTCAAGTCTGGTTGACAACCAACACGCTGCAGTCAAGTCTGGTTGACAATCAACACGCTGCTGTCAAGTCTGGTTGACAACCCAACACGCTGCTGTCAAGTCTGGTTCGACAACCAACACGCTGCTGTCAAGTCTGGTTGACAATCAACACGCTGCTGTCAAGTCTGGTTCGAAAACCAACACGCTGCTGTCAAGTCTGGTTGACAACTCAACACGCTGCTGTCAAGTCTTGTTGAAACCAACACGCTGCTGTCAAGTCTGGTTGACAACCAACACGCTGCTGTCAAGTCTGGTTGACAATCAACACGCTGCTGTCAAGTCTGGTTGACAACCAACACGCTGCTGTCAAGTCTGGTCGACAACCAACACGCTGCTGTCAAGTCTGGTTGACAACCAACACGCTGCTGTCAAGTCTGGTTGACAACCAACACGCTGCTGTCAAGTCTGGTTGACAACCAACACGCTGCTGTCAAGTCTGGTTGACAATCAACACGCTGCTGTCAAGTCTGGTTGACAATCAACACGCTGGTGTCAAGTCTGGTTGACAATCAACACGCTGCTGTCAAGTCTGGTTGACAATCAACACGCTGCTGTCAAGTCTGGTTGACAATCAACACGCTGCTGTCAAGTCTGGTTGACAATCAACACGCTGCTGTCAAGTCTGGTTGACAATCAACACGCTGCTGTCAAGTCTGGTTGACAATCAACACGCTGCTGTCAAGTCTGGTTGACAATCAACACGCTGCTGTCAAGTCTGATTTCAGATTTAACAAAATGATAAATGGCACTGTCAAAGACTTGTGTGGGATTAGTCTAATTTCAGATTTCTAATGTTTGAACCAAGAGGCATAATCTGTCAGAGCACAGAATCTCACAGCACACACTGAGCATAGAATCTCACAGCACACACTGAGTATAGAATCTCACAGCACGCACTGAGCATAGAATCTCACAGCACACACTGAGCATAGAATCTCACAGCACACACTGAGTATAGAATCTCACAGCACACACTGAGCATAGAATCTCACAGCACACACTGAGTATAGAATCTCACAGCACACACTGAGTATAGAATCGCACAGCACACACTGAGTATAGAATCTCACAGCACACACTGAGCATAGAATCTCACAGCACACACTGAGCATAGAATCTCACAGCACACACTGAGTATAGAATCTCACAGCACGCACTGAGCATAGAATCTCACAGCACACACTGAGTATAGAATCTCACAGCACACACTGAGTATAGAATCTCACAGCACACACTGAGCGTAGAATCTCACAGCACACACTGAGCATAGAATCTCACAGCACACACTGAGCATAGAATCTCACAGCACATACTGAGCATATAATCTCACAGCACTCTGAGCATAGAATCTCACAGCACACTCTGACCATAGAATCTCACAGCACACTCTGATCGTCGAATCTCACAGCACACTCTGAGCATAGAATCTCACAGCACACTCTGAGCATAGAATCTCACAGTACACTCTGAGCGTAGAATCTCACAGCACACACTGAGCATAGTCTCACAGCACATAATGAGCATAGAATCTCACAGCACACTCTGAGCATAGAATCTCACAGCACACTCTAAGCATAGAATCTCACAGCAAATACTGAGTATAGAATTTCACAGCTCACTCTGAGCATAGAATCTCACAGCACACTCTGAGCATAGAATCTCACAGCACATACTGAGTATAGAATCTCACAGCACACACTGAGCATAGAATCTCACGGCACACTCTGAGCATAGAATGTCACAGCACATTCTGAGCATAGTCTCACAGCACACTCTGAGCATAGAATCTCACAGCACACTCTAAGCACAGAGTCTCACAGCACACTCTGAGCATAGAATCTCACAGCACACTCTAAGCACAGAGTCTCACAGCACACTCTGAGCATAGAATCTCACAGCCCATACTGAGCATAGAATCTCACAGCACACACCGACCATAGAATCTCACAACACACACTGACCATAGAATCTCACAGAACACTCTGAGCACAGAATCTCACAGCACACACTGACGACAGAATCTCAGAGCACACACTGACCATAGAATCTCACAGCACACACAGACCATAGAATCTCACAGCACACACTGACCACAGAATCTCACAGCACACACTGACCACAGAATCTCACCACACACTCTGATCATAGATTCTCACAGCACATACTGAGGACAGAATCTCACAGCACACACTGACCACAGAATCTCACAGCACACACTGACAATAGAATCTCACAGCACACACTGATCATAGAATCTCACAGCACACACAGACCATAGAATCTCACAGCATACACTGACCATAGAATCTCACAGCACACACTGACCATAGAATCTCACAGCACAGACAGACCATAGAATCTCACAGCACATACTGAACACAGAATCTCACAGCACACACTGACCATAGAATCTCACAGCACATACCGACCATAAAATCTCATAGCACATACTGACCATAGAATCTCACAGCAAACATTGACCATAGAATCTCACAGCACACACTGACCATAGAATCACACAGCATACACTGACCATAGAACCTCACAGCACACACTGGCCATAGAATCTCACAGCACACACTGACCATAAAATCTCACAGCACAAACTGACCACAGAATCTCACAGCACACACTGACCATAGAATCTCACAGCACACACTGACCATAGAATCTCACAGCACACACTGACCATAGAATCTCACAGCACACACTGACCATAGAATCTCACAGCACACACTGACCATAGAATCTCACAGCACAAACTGACCATAGAATTTCACAGCACACACTGACCATAGAATCTCACAGTACACTCTGAGCATAGAATCTTACAGCACACTCTGAGCATAGTCTCACAGCACATAATGAGCATAGAATCTCACAGCACACTCTGAGCATAGAATCTCACAGCACACTCCAAGCATAGAATTTCACAGCACACTCTGAGCATAGAATCTCACAGCACACTCTGGGCATAGTCTCACAGCACATAATGACAATAGAATCTCACAGCACACTCTGAGCGTAGAGTCTCACAGCACACACTGACCATAGAATCTCACAGCACACACTGACCATAGAATCTCACAGCACACTCTGAGCATAGTCTCACAGCACATAATGAGCATAGAATGTCACAGCACACTCTGAGCATAGTCTCACAGCACATAATGAGCATAGAATGTCACAGCACACTCTGAGCATAGTCTCACAGCACATAATGATCATAGAATCTCACAGCACACTGATTACTCCTTCATGATAAAGTTGATATGTTAGCCAAGAAGAGTATCGAGAAGGAGAATGTAGAATATAACTTTGGTATAACTGTGTCTAGCATTAGGAATAATATTAGGAGAGAAGTAAATAATGAAAATGATTGTTATAGGAATGCAGTTAGAAGCCTGAGTAGATCTATAACCCACAATGATAACATGAACGTAGATAAGTATGTTTATGGAGCAACTTGCAATGTGAACAGACTGACTGATGTTGTAGTGGCCAGGCTTAGGCTTGGTTACAAGTACTGACTGATGTTGTAGTGGCCAGGCTTAGGCTTGGTTACAAGTACTTCTGGCAGTTTCGGAGACACACAGATGATGATCAAACTAAATGTAAATTATGTGATCAGGCATATGGTCACTCTCTTGAACACTATGTGCTTAATTGTCCACTTATTGAGGAATACAGAGACAGACAGTATAATAACCTATGTGACATGTCAAGATATCTTATTAATGAAAATAAGATACCAGATATACTAAGCAAATTTCCTAAATTTGCTTGTAACAGATAAGTGAACTATAGATATGTAGATATAAATCCATATGTATTCCTGTTAACCCTTTGGGGCCTAGTTCCTAGGCCTTTTGTGTATCCATATGCTCTCGCGCTACCGTCCACAGGATGGATATGGGGTGCACAATAAACTAGCCACTTCGGTGGCAAAATCTAAATCACTGAGCACAGAATCTCACAGCACACTTTGAGCACAGAATCTCGGGGCACACTCTGACCATAGAATCTCACAGCACACTCTGAGTATAGAATCTCACAGCACACTCTGAGCATAGAATCTCACAGCACACACTGACCATTGAATCTCACTGTACGCACTGACCATAGAATCTCACAGCACACACTGACCATAGAATCTCACAGCACACACTGACCATAGAATCTCACAGCACACTCTGAGCATAGAATCTCACAGCACACACTGACACAGAATCTCACAGCACACACTGACATAGATCTCACAGCACACACTGACATAGAATCTCACAGCACACTCTGACATAGAATCTCACAGCACACACTGAGCATAGAATCTCACAGCACACCTGACCATAGAATCTCACAGCACACCTGACATAGAATCTCACAGCACACACTGACCATAGAATCTCACTGCACACCTGACATAGAGTCTCACGGCACACTCTGACCCTAGAGTCTCACAGCACACCTGACATAGAGTCTCACAGCACACTCTGAGCATAGAGTCTCACAGCACACACTGACCATAGAGTCTCACAGCACACACTGACCATAGAGTCTCACAGCACACACTGACCATAGAGTCTCACAGCACACACTGACCATAGAGTCTCACAGCACACTCTGAGCATAGAGTCTCACAGCACACTCTGAGCATAGAGTCTCACAGCACACTCTGACCATAGAGTCTCACAGCACACACTGACCATAGAGTCTCACAGCACACACTGACCATAGAGTCTCACAGCACACACTGACCATAGAGTCTCACAGCACACACTGACCATAGAGTCTCACAGCACACACTGACCATAGAGTCTCACAGCACACACTGACCATAGAGTCTCACAGCACACACTGACCATAGAGTCTACAGCACACACTGACCATAGAGTTCTACAGCACACACTGACCATAGAGTCTCACAGTACACACTGACCATAGAGTCTCACAGTACACACTGACCATAGAGTCTTACAGCACACACTGACCATAGAGTCTCACAGCACACACTGACCATAGAGTCTCACAGTACACACTGACCATAGAGTCTTACAGCACACACTGACCATAGAGTCTCACAGCACACACTGACCATAGAGTCTTACAGCACACACTGACCATAGAGTCTCACAGCACACTCTGAGCATAGTCTCACAGCACACACTGACCATAGAGTCTCACAGCACACTCTGAGCATAGAGTCTCACAGCACACACTGACCATAGAGTCTCACAGCACACACTGACCATAGAGTCTCACAGCACACACTGACCATAGAGTCTCACAGCACACTCTGAGCCCTAGAGTCTCACAGCACAATGACCATAGAGTCTCACAGCACACTGAGCATAGAGTCTCACAGCACACACTGACCATAGAGTCTCACAGCACACAATGACCATAGAGTCTCACAGTACACACTGACCATAGAGTCTCACAGCACACACTGACCATAGAGTCTCACAGCACACTCTGAGCATAGAGTCTCACAGCACACTCTGAGCATAGAGTCTCACAGCACACACTGACCATAGAGTCTCACAGCACACACTGACCATAGAGTCTCACAGCACACTCTGAGCATAGAGTCTCACAGCACACTCTGAGCATAGAGTCTCACAGCACACACTGACCATAGAGTCTCACAGTACACACTGACCATAGAGTCTCACAGCACACAATGACCATAGAGTCTCACAGCACACACTGACCATAGAGTCTCACAGCACACACTGACCATAGAGTCTCACAGCACACACTGACCATAGAGTCTCACAGCACACACTGACCATAGAGTCTCACAGCACACACTGACCATAGAGTCTCACAGCACACACTGACCATAGAGTCTCACAGCACACTCTGAGAGACTAAAATGTAAAAGCATGGACTAGCAGTTCACATATTTTCAAAACAAGTGCTCTCTAATATGTTCAAAACACCTGACCACAGATGCAAGTTTCTCAGCTTGGAGAAAACTGATGTGCAGCTCCTGACTCACCTTCTACTACCTCACAGCATGAACATGAGGCGCTTAACAAAGCAATTTCATTTAATCAATTGAATGATCCTGTCCATGATTGTGTCTGTGTTGGTCCTAACCTGAATCTACCACTCGCATCATATTATTACTGTCGTTACTAACAGCCTGCTGATTGGTGGAAGACTCACCTGCATTTAGCGAACGGTGTATTGACTATCCATCAATCTTTAGGTTGAATGACCCACACGGGTTTAGCTACTTATATTAAAGACAGTATTTTTTTTTTTGTTTCTGTAATTCCCTCCCTGTGTTCTTTTCTCTTCGTATGGAACCGGTTGTTTCTATGCTTTATTCTCTCTCCTGATTTTCAACACTGTCCTAATGTTTTTCTCCTTCCCTAATTTATACTGGTTATGTACACTTTTCCCTGTCAGTCTCTGTGTTTCCTATGTATAGGACTGTGTTTTTTACCCATAGTCTGTTTCCAAAATTGATCTCCATACAACAACTTTAGAAAGCCTCGTCTAATTGACTTCAAAATTTCTTCACTAGTACAACCTGGTCAGAGGAAGTGTTGTGTTTTGAGTGGGGTGTTTAGCTGCCATTTTCTACTTGTGACTATATCTTATGTGTTTATATGGTTCAGCCTATCGTTCAATATCTGTCTGTTTCGGTAACTAGGATTTGGTTTATCTGTTAATCTCCCTCCCTCCCTCTCTCCCTCTCCCTCTCTCATTCCTTACCTATTCTCTCGGCCCTGACAGCTGAGGGAGGGCCAGTGACGTTGAACCACAAGTGGCACCATGGTTTTGATGGTCTGGACGTTTTGGTCGTCACCAGCACACGAACACATGGACGTACGTCTGAGGATAGTGATAGTATGTGTGAGTACAGAGTACATGGTAGCATAAAAAAGTTAACACATGGAGGTTACATGTCAGTACATCCCAGAGTACACTGAAACAAGAGTACACTGAAACAAGAGTACACTGAAACAAGAGTACACTGAAACGAGAGTACATTGAAACAAGAGTACACTGAATATCCTCGCGCAGCCCCTGGAAAATGAGAGGCAGTAAGGTTTGATCCGAGGAAAGGGAGGTGAGTGAATAAAAAAATAACACTGAAAAATGACAGGAAGCGTCGATAAATTAACGTTGGGAACCACGTTAGGAAGCTGACGTCTTATGAACGACAATAGAATAGAAACTCTTTATTCGACTATAGTCCAGCGTTCCCCTCTTGTGTTATTTTTCCTTTCTCTTTATCACATCTCGTGTATCTGTCGTTCTCTTCCCATTTCGTATATCTGTCGTTCTCTTCCCATTTCGTATATCTGTCGTTCTCTTTAAATGTCTTATATGTATCGTTCTCTTCATTATATCTAATATACCTATTCTTTTTTTCTTAAATATGCAGCGTCTAAGAAGGCAAAGAAATAAATTTAGACTTGATAAAGCTCTGTGTAGAGCTTAATCAAGTCATGAATTCAATATCTAAAAGCACGAAATATGCCCCAATATAATCGTGTTCTGCAACCTGTTTCTTCCTCTTAATATTGGTAAGTAGTTGATTGTTTCACCCTTGTACCGCCTATTACTAAGCCTTTTTCAAAGAACAATTCAATAAAAGGCTTAAATATTGGCATTCAGATGTTG